TTTTTGGGTGTTTTGTTAAAACACAAATGGTGTGTTTAAGTTTCCTGTTATTTTTTGGAGCTACAGGTAAAGTCTTGAGTTTGTCGCGGGTCTGGGGGAGGTTCAGCCCCCACCCCTTCTTCTCCTCTCTCTCTCTCTCTCTCTCTCTCTCTCTCTGTCTCTGTCTCTGTCTCTGTCTCTGTCTCTCTCCCTCCGCAGCGAAATCCAGGCTTTAGTGCTCCGACGCTTCTGCAGCCGCGTTCTGCTTTGAAGCGTTTATTTAGCAACGAGCTATCATGCTAAAGCAAGAGTTGACTCCTCCCACACTAAGAAAACAGGAGGGGAGGGGTCAGTTGAGCTCTTGTGTAGCGGAGCACTATGAAGCGGCGCTTCATAGAGCACAGAGAGGGAGAGAGAGGACGGAAAAAAACAAGCAGGAAAATGAAACTTATCGCYGTCTTTTTTTTAACCGACCTMAAAAAAAGTTATCGTGCGATTAATTGATTTATTGACTATCGCGACAGGCCTACTTCACCGGTCGCATTTTCTTTTAAAGAAATAAAAAGTAGCTTGCAAAGCTGTCGCATCGGTGCAACGTGATTAGAAGCAGGTCTAATCTCACACAAACGTCTATCTTTGTGAGGACCACACACAGTGCTCAGCCTCACTCTGCGCCGTCTTTTTCCCCAAGTTTGGTGAGAGGTGGATATGGAGGGTCGAAAAAAAAAATAGCTCTCGACTTGATCTGGCCTTATTTAAATAAAAATGATGTGGCGTGTACCAGCAACCCTACCTCGTAGTCGCTACAAACTAAGGTTAGCAAAATCTGCATTTTGATTGTAACTGGTCTCACGCTTCACACTGAAATGTCTGTGTGCATGATAAAATACAAAAACCACAGCACCAGCTAGTGACCTGCCTGGCATAGAAATTACAGCGAGTTCAACATCTTTTTAAAGTCTCATCTAAACAGCAACCACATCATACAAACATGAACATGTTAACATTTACAAAACCAACATTGTAAAATCTATAACGCTTCTAGGAGACAGGTTAGTGTATTGTACTGTTGCCTCACAGCAAGAATTTCCTGGGTTCAATCACAGGTTTGGACCTGGAATGTAGGTTGTGTGTGCATTTTCTCTTGGTAATCTGTTCCCTCCCCCCAGTCCAAAAATACAGTATGTACATCAGGCTGCCATCAGGCCCAGGCCTCATTTAAAATAGAGATCTGTGATCTTAATGCATTGACCCTGGTTAAATCACTGCTGTAAATAATACATAAAATATGCTTGTTCAGGTGTAAACTGGGCCTAATTTACAAGTGTAGAGGGCTATAATTAAATCTTCAGACACTGACCAGGCGGGCAATGGAGATGGGAGGCCTGTTGGACCTGCTCATAAACAGCCTCCTCAGGACCACCTTGTTGAAGGGAGCATTGGATCGGCGAGCAAGAAACCTGTACAACTGTAAGACACAAAAATACAGGAAAGAATACCAGTGAAATAAGAGTTTAAAAACTATCACCACCAATATATCAACCCAGAACTTCATACACAATTTATTTATTTTAAAAATGAATGGAAAAAAAGGTACAAGTTTACCTTGACCAGGAGCCTCAGGTAAATATCCTGGCTCTTTGGCTCCTTCCTGTGCACTTTACGGTCCTTGTTGTGTCTGATGTCAACTCCCTGGAAAAGTGAACAGAACAAATGTACAATATTTACATGCAGCACATCCAAACAAAAATAAAATCTGACCTTCAAGTAATCCCACTATGTACCGGTATATAAAAGGAACATTGAAATCCACCAAATGAAACAGTAAATGGTAAAAAACGAAATTAAAATTTTATAAAAACTCGTGTGGCTGGATCCATACACACGTTGACTCTACAGCACAATGCTGACATCAAACAGCTACGGCAAGCAAACAGGCAATCTCTCTCACAGAAAAGTTTAACCTTTAAAAACACTTTTAACATTTAAATAAGCACTGACTTAAATGGGCATTATTCCCCGGTCATAAAAGTTTCTGAACCGGTCTTCTAATCATCCTAAAGCTTATAGCGGAGCACAGTTCAGCGTCATGTCGCCTCCAATGAAGGTAAGCTAATGTGACTTAAATAGATAAATAACACAAAATCACTGAAGAACTACGAGACCATTTATGTTTATAACATATTTATACGTCCAACAAGAAGATGGGATGGCTTAATTTAGAGGATGATTGTGGATACTAAAGCTGTCGCGTTTTAAATTTTTGAGTAGCGTTACCTACCATTTTGGACTCGGGACGAAAAGGGAAAAGGAAGAGACGATGTCTCGCGATAACACAGACGGCTGAACTCTCGGGCCCTCTGATTGGTTGTAAAGAGTGTGCTTCCGGCCGGCTAGCGTTGCCAGATACATATGGATAAAATAATTTTAGGGTCTTCATGGCAAATTATAATTGTGGCATTTAAAAAAAGCAAAAATAATATAAATAAATAAACGTATGAACCCACATTTAACAGTCCGCATGCTCGCAAAACTCAACACAGTAGTTTTAAAGCAATAATATATATGAATAATAAACGCTAATAATTTGTTAACTGGCAACCCTGGCTTTAGTCAGAACAGCTGAGGTGATTCGTGATGCTGCCTCTGCTGGTATGAAGACAAAGAAGGCCACGTTTCGTCTGAGTTAAAAAAAAAAACTTACAGAATTTAAATCTATTATTAATCGAATTTTAAAAACGAAATATAAATTATCATTTAGTCACATACTCTTGTGTCAAAGATGTAAGAAACAACAACAAATACCTTGCATGACAAAACTTGAGTCCACTATTTGCTTTTTTTAGGCAATAGACAACAGGCCTGCATAGTAAATTATCTATAATAGATACATGATAATATAGTTATAAAATAAATATAATCTGTATTAAAATATCAAACTACATCATCAGTTAGGTTAGGCTATATTTATTTTATACAAGTAACTTTACTTGTACCTGAGTAAAACGTCTATACTTTTAATTGATTTGTTAACAAACGTGGCTCTTTTTTAAACACACATTGTGTATCATCCTAGTAGCTTTCTTTAATATGTTTTTATGGTCTCTTGTGCTTTGTTGTTATGTTCTCAATATTGTCCAATTGCAATGGTTTTTAAATGTGTTAAAATAAATTTGATTTCATTTCAAATATATTTACTTATTTCTTTGTATTAATGCTGCAGTGGTACAACATCAATAAACACTTAAATGTGGGACAAAGACCAATTCAATACATGCTATTTAAGTCACTTGTTTTTAATAGGAATTTTTTTTACTTTTAACTTGTGTTGTTTTCACAGCAAGTGATGAAAAGTCATGTTAATATGAAAGGACAGCCAAGATATTTAAATTATATATTTAAATAATTAAATTACCTTTACCTTACTGTCCAACAAAAATGAAGTGAAGTCACTCAATGCTATTTGTTGTTGCAATCAAATATACTAAGTTCATTCAAAATGTGTGTAAAAAATTAACCTTTAACTCAATACAATTTAGACTTAGACATACATACATATATTAAAATAAATAAACAATACTTTCATTGATTTTTTTATTGTAAAACAGGTCTAAACTAAAGAGAATGACTGCAAAAATGGCTATTTTTTGGGGTTTTTTTTATTCACAGGAAATGAATAACAGTACTGACACACACAGGAAGGCTTATCCTCCAAATATTTTAAGATACATTAAGCACCAACAGTAAAGTCACTGCTCCGAAGATTCAATCTGTAGTTTAAAAAGCTGCAGCTGATGTCAACAATTTATAAAAGCATCTCAGTCAGGTTGGTGGTTGTGCTGCTGTTTGAGGTGACACAGAAAGATGGTGAAAGTCAGAGCGATCACTCCCAGGAACGCCGTCCGAGCCACAGGGGGGACAAAGGTAAAGTTCACAGCCTGAGATACGAGACAGAGTGAGAAAAAACCCATTGTAAAACATAAAACAACATTTTCTGAATCTGTGTAGTAAAATTTCACCTGCATTGTTGACCAATACACCACTCCAGCCTGCGAGAACAGATTGATTTATTTCATAAGTTTGAGAACATAAATCAGATCTAGTCTAAAGACACGCAGGGACCACATGTACCATATAAGATGTCCAGAACTTCTGCCGCCAGTCTGCAAGTGGGTCATCTCTGCGTTCTAATAAACTCAAACCTGAACCAGAAAGATGATCAGATATTTGATAAATGTTTTAAAGACAGAATTTGAGTCGTCCTTAAAGTAATCAGACCATCCATCCATCCATCCATCCATCCATCCATCCATCCATCCATCCATCCATCCATCCATCCATCCATCCATCCATCCATCCATCCATCCATCNCATCCATCCATCCATCCATCCATCCATCCATCCATCCATCCATCCATCTGTAGGGGTCACCTCGAGTGAAGAAACAGGAGTAAATAACCCACCTTACACATCCATCCATCCATCCATCCCTCCAAAAAGAGGCTATCAAAACAAAAGTCTTAGTGTTCTGAAAATTGGAGCAGAACACAGAAATACAATCTGTGATCTGAATGTTTCAGGTTTTAAAAATGCAGGTGATGAAACCTTCACATCTGCCTCCAATATTTAGCTCCTGTGGGCCCTTGAGCAAGACCCTTAAAGGACCTGTGACATACCCATCCATTGAATAAAAAAAGTCAAAGAAAACACATTTCTATATTAGAAACCTTGCATAAAACAAGATTTTTACCCATTTGGTCACATAAATAGCATATTTTCTTTTGAACTTGGATCAGTCAAAGTGAAACAGGAAGTGACATCAAAGGGGAACTATTTAAGAAAAAGAACTCTGTAGTCTTTGTTTATTGAAATTATATTATTTGAACTCTGACTCGTGTTCATCTCTCGTTAATAGTGACTCAAAATAATCTAAAGAAACATCAGATTCTTCTCTACAGTCTGAGTCCTTAGCCATTTGATCACTTTGACATCACTTTCTGGTACTTCAAATGCAAATATCTCAATAAATGTTCATCTCAGCAGCTGGAATTTATTTTTGCAATATGTTATTGATGCAATCTTTCCAATAATGCCTTTATATTTATTTTAAAATTTTCATGTCACAGGCACTTTAACCCTCTGCTCCATAGGTGCCTTCAGTGGCAGCACCTCTGCTTCACGTGTGAGAGGAGAAACGCTGAGAATAAATGTTTTCATTTTTTTATATAAAATACATGAACTGACAAAAACAATTAATAAGGATTTTAAGAAGCAATCGTGACAGTCTAACTTCGTGGCTGACTGTCTTTTGGTTGTTGTTTTTTTTGGAAGTCCTTCATGTTCATTACTTTTGTATTTTCTGTATTTAATTCTTGTGTTCAGATCTGTTACTTATGTTTCCATTAGTTTAGCTGCTGTACTACCAGCACTTATTTTTTCTCACTTGAGCATAGTGTTTTATACCATGTCTGGTTACCCATGCTGAATTAAACTCCTGCTTCCCTGTTTTAACATCAGTCTTTTGTTTTGTTTAAAAAAAATAAAATAACGTTTTTTTCTTTTTATGCCGCATTAAACTCCTGCTTCCCTGCTTTAACATCGCTGCTGTTTTAGCGAAACAAAGCCTTTTGTTTTGTTAAAAAATAAAATAAAGTTTTTTTTTGTTTGTTTGTTTTTTTATTCATCTCTTGGCTTTCTTGGGACCAAACTCTCTTAAAACCATGACACGGACAGTTATGTAATCGGGCTTGGGTGACTACATGAATTATGGCAGAACTCGCCTAAAAGATGCATCTGTGCCAGCTGTCCATGACCAAACTGCAAACAATATTTATTTAAAGTTTTTGAGAGTTAAATTGCATCTCAACACTATTTTTCTATCAGTTTGATGTGACCTAAAATAAATAAACAAACCATAGTCTAGATATTCAGAAAGTGAAAATAATATGTTTGGAGTCGTGCTCACCAATATAAAAAGCACTGATGGTCAGAGGAGCTCCAACAAGCTGATCCAGCACCACTTTCCCCGCCACCACCTTCACCCCCCCTCCTGGCAGCATCCTCTCCAGCCATCGGAGCCAATGATAATTAAAGTTGGCGTGGAAACAGAAACCCACGGTCGCCACCCGGGCTGTCTGGTGCCAGTTGATGCTAGACGAGCCCTCTGCTGCAGGTTTCTTACCCAGAACCCTCTGCTGAATGAGGTCGGCTGAGGCGAAGAGTGCGGTGTATCCCAGGACATTGCTGATGTACGGGTGAGCCTTGAACGCAGCCCAGGCCCGGTTCATGGTACAGCATCTGAACAGAAGGGAAACAACAGGGTGGGACGATGGACTGAGTTAATCCTGGAAAAAAACCTGTTAGAGTATGTGTCAAACTGAAGGCCAAATTTGGCCCTCCTTAACATTTTATCTGGCCCCAAAGTCAGTACTTAAAATGTAAAATAGTTTTATAGTTTCTGTTTTTGTCACATTCTTCTCATGACAGGAGGCCAACTGTCAAACAAAGAGAAAATTAAGTTTGAATTTTTTTCAATAAGCTTTGATTTTGGTGTGGAAAGAGCAAGTTTAGTCAACTTTAATGAAGTTTTTCTGTTTTTTTAATTATTATTATTTTAAAGTTAAAAAAAGATTTTTACTGAGATTTTTACAAGTGATTTTCTGCTGGATTGTGATCAAATGTATTTGTGTGAAATAATAATTTAAAATGTTGTTAGTGGAGAGTAAAAAATGAATGATGTATCTTTTTAAATTTAATATTTTTTTCTTTATTCGTTAAACGCCACATAAAATATAATTTGGAAACCTGCTGTTCACAAATACTCTTCATTCAATTTGAAGACTGCACAAAAACTTCAGTGTTCAAATGTGCAAAGCTGGTAGACATCAAAAGATCTGCAGCTGTTATTGCAGTGAAAGGTGGTCAAAGAGTTTTCTTGGAGTGGCTAAGAAAAACACACTCTACACCTCTAAAAATTTTATTTTTAAAAGGAAAAAGTGAAAACCACTTTATCCTTCCACCTCTCATAATTACACCCTACTCTGTCCATTAAAATCCCAATAACACACTTTGAAGTTCAACACATTACAAAATGAGGAAAATTAAACTTACCTCAAAGTGTGGCTCCTCTCAGCCTTTTTCTTTCAATTCCTAAAAATCCACAGAAAAAAAAAACTTTTCCTTATTGAAGCAAGGAGAACAAATCTACACGTGACAGATGTCTTCTTACCGGGTCAAAGTTCTGCCACTGTTGAAGGGAATGTGCATAAATCCTTTATCAGTCCAGTGAGAATGTGGGAAAAGACCACATGTGAAAAGGGTCAGAGCAAAACCCTGCAGCAGACAAGAGGAAAACTTTAACTGCACTTAGTGAAACCCACTAGACGGTCCATCAAACAGACAAAAAA